GACAGATACTTCCACTCTAAATTGCAAATCTTGGCTAAGATTCGCTCTGGCTTTCTAGGATACCCGGAAGCTCAGGTTACTCGGAAGTATTTCCGCTTCAAGGGGCGGAACTATGGCCGTTTTCTCCCTGGGGCATTCTGGGAAGTGTAGTCAGGGGTCCGCGTAGCCTGGGGCACTTCCGCTTTCGGATGGCCGAGCTAGGGAATTGTGGGAAGTGGTCCAGGGTTTCTCTTTAGTTGCTGGAAGGCTTTTTCGCTCTAAGAGGGCTCAAGGAGACAAGTGTTTGGATCCGCAGGGACCCTCCAAGTTTTCTCAACCTCGTTGGGGAGCAAGCGGGGCCCTGGGCCTCGTCTGGAGGAAGGCCTGAGAAGCTGTGGCCAGCTTCGAGGCTGGAGTTGGGAGCAGTTTGTTTTCTTTCTCCTCGGCTGAGCCTCACGTTTGGAGCAGTTCGTGCGTCCCCGGGTTGGGAGCGTCCTGGGTCGGTTGTCGCTTGGTTAGAGGGTCTCCTGGCGTTCCCCAGCCAGCCTCTCCCACCTACTGGGCAGCTCTGCCTCTTACTAGTGTTATAACGTTTTGTGAGTTAATCTTAATCTTTATGCCGTTCTCCTCATTTCTGAAGTAGAGTCATTAGTAGGAGGTCCTTATACTTTTATACGAATTAATTCATTAGATGTTCAAAATAGCGTTATGTGGTAGGTACCACTACGTTCTAACAGAAAGACGAAGATAATAGACCTCTCTACACAATGTAGAAAAGAAAGCTGTCTTATTACTGAATAAGGACAACCACTGTATAGTATTGTAGGCAATCTGAATAAAAATATTATTTTAAAATTCCGCCATATGTGTACAGTCAAGCAGTTTTAAACTTTTTATACAGTTTTACTTTTGACTACTCTGTACATAAGTTCTCAAGATTAATGATTTTTCAATAAGAGGACTTATCATTTACTGCAAATTCTTTTATACATTTATTCTAAATTTACTTGAGAATCCAGTCTTAGTTAACTAACTTTATCCGAAGTGATAATAAAATTTCTCTTACCTCATCTGCTAGCCGATTTACAGTTTAAAGAGAGGCACCATGGTTAAACTCTTACAGTGTTAGGGACAGCGGGTTGTTATTTTCTCAGATATTTATATTCAAAAGGGACAAATCTCAGAACTTTCACAAATACTTCTATGTTGTACACCTGGCTAGAGGCTCACATAGCCTCTAACGAAATTTACATGCATATCAAAAGGTTAGAGAAAGGATTCAGAAGCACTAGGTTTCTTATGGAAATGCTCTAAGAAGAAAAGGGAAGACGAACCCTAAAACGTTCAGTTACTAAGAGACAGAACGTCCATATGAACCCAAGAATTTGGAGCCTCAAGTCTGTGTTCATATTCTCCACGCTGTACATTTTTCTTAGAACCATGCAAAATAATCTTGTATATGGTTTGTGGAAGTCTTTTTCTATCAGGTTTGGATCTGGGGCTTTAGAGTCTATGTTCTCCTTATAGAAATAATGCATGACCATTATAGAGAGATTAGAAAATACAGAAGTGTATAAAAGGAAATGAAAGTTACCCATATTCACTGCTGTATATTTAAACAATTAGCTGGGTGTGGTGTCGCATACCTATAGTCCCAGCTACTTGGGATGCTGAGGTGGGAGGATCGCTTGAGCTCAGGAGTTTGAAGCTGCAGTGAGCTACTATCACGGCACTGCACTCCAGCTTGGATGACAGCGAGACCCCATCCCTTTAACTCATAATCTCAGGATTTAGAGATAACCACTGCTAACATTTTAAATGCATTTATTCATTGGTGCCATACCACCCACATGGTATTTCTGTAATTTTTCTTATAGAAATTCCCAAACATACACATAGAGAAAATAGTGTTAATGACCCCAACCCCGCCATCATTTGTCTTTAACTCTTGTAAACATTTTGCCTATCTTATTGCATCTATTACTCTTCTCCCACATATGTTTTTGGTGGGTAGAGGAGGAATTTGACTATTTAAAATCAAAACCAAATCCTAGTCAGTAGAAATTAAAAGTAACTAACATAAAGTAATTATGAATGAAGAGCAAAGGAAGCAAATAACTTCAGAGTTTTCTTTCCTGGAAACTAGGAAGAAGGTAGTTATGTGAAAAACCTAAGGGAGAGGGAAACATTGAGATTTGGAAAGGAATAGTTATGAATTTGGCTTCCTTATTTGGAATGTTTTACTTAGGGTCTTTTAGATCTGATCTGTTTCTCCCTTAGGCTGCATGTTACTTTGTTGCAGGGACTATGTCCCATTCTTTACCATGTGCTTAGCACCCAGCACAAGACTGGCAAGGAGGGGTTTAGTGTTTATGGTTTGTGGAGCTGCCCAGTATCTTGAAACAGAAACCTGCAGATCATTTAGGTTGTATTTAGAATTCTCAAAATGGATTTAGGAAAAAATAAAAGGAAATAATGTCAATATTAGTGACCCTTTATCTCACTTTTGGTGGGATGCACTTGCATATTCTTCTAGTTTTTTCACAGTAATCAAAAGTTGATATGTGGTTATTGATAATATTTTAATGATCAAAGCAAATTTTTGTAGAAACCTTCCATCCATAATTTGTGTGTCCTGTGTTTATCACCTGAGGTTAACATTTGCTAACTTTTTATAGGGTAGTCATGAATCAGGCAGAATTTCCAATGTTTTAGGTGTATTTATTCATTTGTACCTGGTATCAACCCTATTATAGTCTCCATTTTACAAATGAAGAAAAAAGGGACAGAAGAAATGGAAGCACTAGTATTTTAATCTAGGAAGCTTCATACTAAGTCTGTAATCTTGGCTACTACACATTACTTTTATTAGTTTCCAAGGCAAGAACCCACAGTAAGTCTTCCTAGAGCAGGGAATATTTAAGCTATGGATGAAGACTGTCACCCAGGAGGGAAAAGAGTAGCAGATTATGACAGAAGGGACAGCAAATACAAAGAATTTGAGGCTTTTTGTAGGAGTACAAATAATCCACTATGACTGGACATGTAGAGTGGAAAGTGGATTTGAAGAGAGAAACAGCATCTGGAAAATTCCTGTTTGTGTGACTTGTTAAAGCATTTGAACCTTCTCTTAAGGGCACTGGATAGACATGCAGGTGAAAATAATCATATTTCCATTTTAGGAGATATACTTAACCTCTCTCTGCCTCTGGACCCCAAAGAGTAAACTAGAGGACATTACATTATTTGTCTTAAAAAAGTGGTGAAAATGGGCTAAGTGCAGTGGCTCATGCCTGTAATCCTAGCACTTTGGTAGGCTGATGTGGGTGGATCACCTGAGGTCAGGAATTCGAGACTAGTCTGGCCAAGATGGCAAAACCCCGTCTCTACTAAAAATACAAAAATTAGCTGGGCGCGGTGGTGGTGCTGGGGGGTGCCTATAACCCCAGCCACTCGCGAGGCTGAGGCAGAAGAATCGCTTGAACCCTGAGTGAGGCAGAGATTGCAGTGAGCCGAGATTGTGCCACTTCACTCCAGCCTGGGCAAAAGAGCGAAATTCCATCTAACAACAACAACAACACGAAAAAAGAAAAGAAAAACGAAAAAAGTTGTGAAAATATAGCGAGGGTCCCAGAGTCTGAATAGTTTGGACTAGTTCCTGGCACATACTTGGTTCTTTATAAGAGATAGTTATATATAACAGAATAAAGAATATATATTTAGTAAATGAGAACTGCAAACATGTACTGTAGTGGATATGTGGGTATTTTTAGGTATTGCTCTCTTCTTTCAACCCTCAATTCTTGGAAACATCAATTCCATGATACATTTAATAAGCAAATAAAGATCATGGTTTAAACACTGAAGTAATAAACTTGTTCATCTTTCAGAGTCAGAAACTCCTTGAGGAATGATTATAGTGGCCTCAGTTGCTTTGAGGAGTTGATCATACAATATGCCAAAGCTTGTGTTTTCTATGTCTAGCTATCTTCAGCAAGCAAGCTATTCTGAATTATATGACTGTGCTATTAACAGAAGTGGAAATCCACAATATATTCTGCCTTCCTTGCATTTTTTGGTTGTTCTTTCATTCTTTTTGTAACTAAAGAGTAGTTTTCCTATTAGTTGATCCTGTTAAATGTGAAAAAGAGTTTCCCCTGCCTTTTTTGGGGACGTGGTGGGTATAATTCTATTAGTACAGGATCACATGATCTGTTTCTTATAAACGTTTGTTTTATTTTTTGTTTTTCTGAGACAGTGTCTCACTCTGTCACCCAGGCTGGAGTGCAGTGGCACGATCTTGGCTCACTGCAACCTCCACCTCCCGGGTTCAAGTATTTCTTCTGCCTCAGCCTCTCAAGTAGCTGGGACTACAGGCGCGCGCCACCACACCCGGCTAATTTTTATATTTTTAGTAGAGACAGGGTTTCATCATATTGGCCAGGCTGGTCTCGAACTCGTGACCAAGTGATCCGCCCCCTCCATCCCCCCAGCCTCCCAAAGTGCTGGGCTTACAGGCGTGAGCCACCGCGCCCGGCCTATAATCTTTTTTTTTTATTTTAGGGCTCCAGTTCTTCACACATTTGCTGTTACTTTTTGTTAATAAGAAAAACCTAAATTCCACTGAAATCAGAGAACTGCTTTGGCCTGGCTAAACAGCAAGAAGCCATAAAGGGGATTCTGGATGTTGTAGTCCGGGAGCTCCGAGAATTTGGAGGTTCTTTTGTCACACTCTCGGTAACCCTCTCTCACTCGCTCTTTCTCTTCCTTTGTTTGTTTGTTTGTTTGTTTGTTTGTCTGTTTTTTAAGCGCGAAGAGGGCGGCAGCTGGATGATTCTTGCTCCTGGGAATTCTGGGAAACGTATTCCAGAACTCTGTCCGGAAACAATTGGGCCTCAGGAGCGCGGGCCTTCTGGGAAGGGTAGTTCAAGAGCTCTGGGTAGGGAGAGCCACTTCCGCCCCAGAAAGCGAGGCCGCCACCATCTTTTGGGTCTGGGAGGTGAGTCAACCCGTCACCCACGACCCCTCTTGAACCTTTTCAGCCTCCGCTTGGGAATAGGCGCTCCCCAGCCATCAGTCTTAGGATGGAGAGGTCGCGGCCGCGGCGGAGGCCGAGAGGCCGAGGGTGGAAGTTTGCTCTCCTCCTGCACTTGGCGAGCAGCGCCGCTACTTCTGTGGGTATAATAAACAGCGAGTTAACTATGATCCGCGCTCCTATTTCCTCATCTTTAAAATAGCAGTAAAGATAGTAGTTACTGGGTAGGGTTGTAATTAGAATTAAGATAATACGCGTGAAACCTTAGAACAGTGGTGGCACCAGATACTGGGTTGGCTTGTGCTGGTTATACAGTGATTACCTCACAAGCGCCCTTTTTACTGGAAGCTCCAGTGAAGAGAGAAGAAAGGTCAGGGCTTTATGTCTTGACGTATCCTTCAGGAGACCGAGCTCTTTCCGAACTTTTACTGATTTTTTTTTTTTTTTTTTTAAGGAAGGATTGAGTCCTCGGGCTCCAATGCGTGGGGATATTTACTGCCGTTTATCCGGGATGGAGACTCCATCGTGCTGACAGCGTCCTTTTATTCACCGGCTCCTAATTCGCAAAGAGGAGGAAGGAGGGACTTCTTGGCTTCTCCCAGCATAGCCCCAGGTACCTGCTCTTGAACGCACTTTGTTGCTCCGTTTTCTGCCCTTTCAGTTAGTCAAGTTTCCTTCACTCAGTAAGTTACTACTGAAAAATGATGAAATATTTGTTGAATAAATGTGAGAGTGGGTAGGAAAGCTATTTGGAAATGAGTATTACCAATAATATCTTACCACTTTGATTTTAAGCCTTTCGTCTGTGGACCATAGCTATTGATGAAGTAGGTCTAGTTATTATGTTATGAGGAAATTAGGCAGAGCTTATGTTATTAAATACTTTCCCGAAGTTATTCAACTGATAGTAAGAGGTGGATTTGGGATTGAACCCAAGCATTCCTTTTCAGAGTGTGTGATCTTTTTTGTTTGTTTTTGTTTCTTCGGTTTTTGTTGTTTATTTTCTATTCCTTTTTCAGTGTCTGTGATCTTAATGATACAGTCATCTTCAGTTATCTTAAATAGTAATCCATATGGCTACAGGTGAGTCGCTGGAAATCAGCCTTGGGAATGTAGGTATAGATTTTACTGTGGAAGACCTCAAAAACTGCACTGATGAATTTTGAATTTTTTAGAAAAATCTTACAACATCTCACTTACTTAATTTCATTCCATGTCAAAATATGTCATATTCTGGTTATAGAAGTAATGAATGCTCATTATAGGATGCACTATCCAATCCAGTAGCTGTAAGCCATGTGTGCCCTAGGAGCACTTGAAATGTGTCTAGTTCAAATTGAGATGTGCTATAAGTGTTAAATACACACTGGATTTCAAAAACTTTGTGCAAAAAGTGTAAGATGCCTTACGGACAATTTTTTGTATTATTTGTCAAAATGGTAATATTTTGGATTCAATGGCTTAAATAAAATATATTGTTAAAATTAACTTTGCCTATTTTTGTTTGTTTTTGTTTTGCCTTTTTTATATGTCACTGCTAGAAAATTTAAAATTACGTATGTGTCTCAGTATATTTCTATTGGACAGTGATTCAGAAAACATAAGAATAAAGAAAAAATTACTTATAATAAAACTGCTGACACTTTATAGTGTTTCTCTTTAGTATTTGCTATGGATGTTTCTCAAAATAGGTTTGGTATTCTGTGTAGTTTTTTTCTTAATATATTATGAAAATTTTCTTTTTTTCTTTCTTTCTTTTTTTTTTTTTTGTGATACGGAGATTCACTCTTGTTGCCCAGGCTGGAGTGCAATGGCACAATCTCAACTCACTGCAACCTCCACCTCCCAGGTTCAAGTGATTATCCTGCATCAGCCTCTTGAGTAACTTAGGGATAACAGGTGTGTGCCACCACCCCCAACTAATTCTTGTATTTTTGGTAGAGACAGGGTTTCACCGTGTTACTCAGGCTAATCTCAACCTCCTGACCTCAGGTGATCCGTCCACTTCGGCCTCCCAAAGTGCTGGGATTATAGGCATGAGCCACTGTGCCCAGCTGAAAAATTTCAAGCATATTCAACTGTCAAATGAGTGGTGCAGTGAATCTCATGTAACCAACACAACATTTGCTGCAGACTATCTCCACCTCCTTCCACCCCCGCTCCTTTAAAAAAAAAAAAAAAACAAAAAAACTAGATTGTCTTAAAGCAGGAGTCCCCAAACCCTGGGCAGCAGACCTGGTACTAGCCTGTGGCCTGTTAGGAACCTGATGGCACAGAAGGAGGTGATTGGAGTGGTACCACCTGAGATCTGCCTCCTGCCAGATTAGCAGGGGCATTAGATTCTCATAGGAGGGACTGCATATGCAAGGGATCTAGGTTGTGCGCTCCTTATGAGAATGTAACTAATGCCTCATGATTTGAGGTGGAACATTTCATCCCCAAACCATCTCCCCTGTCCCCATCCATGGAAAAATTGTCTTCCACAAAACTGGTCCCTGGTGCCAAAAAGGCTGCAGACGGTTGTCTTAAAGCATATACCAAACATCAGGTCAGTTTTTTTTTTTTTTTTTTAAATGGAGTCTCGCTCTGTTGGCCAGGCTGGAGTGCAGTGGCCCCATCTTGGTTCACTGCAACCTCTGCCTCCTGGGTTCAAGCGATTCTTCTACCTCAGCCTCCTGAGTAGCTGGGGTCAGTTTTTTTTTCATATTTTACCATGACCTCTGAAACTGAAGCTTTATTTTGCTATTTGCTCAGTATATTATATCTTTTTTTGGTCTTTTTCTTTCAAACTTTTTGTCATTATGTTTTTGTAGTGTCTTTTAGAATATATTTATATAATTTTTTTTTTTTTAGTGCAGTCTGGGATAATTTGCTTTTACTATCTCTGTGTATATTTTGTTCTCCTTTCTTGTGATTTTTTGTTCAACTTATCCCTTTTATTTGTGCTCAACTGGTGTGGGGTTTATATGGTTTTGTGTCATTCTTCTAACTTCAAAAATATTCTCTTAGCAAATACTAAATTTAATCAGCATGTGTTCTTATTCTGAAGAATATTGAGACTAAAAAAAATCTAAAAGAAGATGGGGCCAGGCACAGTGGCTCATGCCTGTAATCCCAGCACTTCAGGAGGCTGAGGCAGGTGGATCACATGAAGTCAGGAGTTTGAGACCAGCCTGGCCAGCGTGGTGAAACCCCGTCTCTACTAAAAACACAAAAATTAGCCGGGCGTGGTGGCGTGCACCTGTAATCCCAGCTACTCGGGAGGCTGAGGTGGGAGAATCGCTTGAACCTGGGAGGCAGAGGTTGCAGTGAGCTGAGATCGTGCCATTGCACTCCATCCTGGGTGACAAGAGCAAAACTCCGTCTCAAAAAAAAGAAAGAAAAAGAAGATGATGTACCTTTTTTTTTTTTTTAAGAAGACTAGGTTTTTATAGGTCTACTTTTTATTATAACCACCCTCAAAATTTGTCATTATAGTTCTTTGGCTTTTTTAAAACAAAGATTATATTACCAATATAGTCACAAATGTTTTCTTACCATTGCTTTTTACAGTCCATCTTTTAGGGTTCACATGGTTACAAATTTTTCTTCGTTTTTTTTCAGCTAAAATATTGCTTCTTTCTCATGTAAATTATCATTTAGTTGAACATAGAATTCAGGTTGACAGTTTCTTTATTTTGGAGGTAATATTCATTTGTTTTAAATTTCCATTCTGTTACCCTATTTCTGTCAAGCCAATTGTTATTTCTTTTAGGTCAACTATATTTTCTTTCTAGGAGCTTTAAGGTGATTGTTGTTTCCAGTTCTTTATGTTTGTTTAGTCTTTTGCATTCCTGAGTTTTACTGTGATTTGTTTAGGAGTATGTTTATTTTTATTTATACTGTTCGGAATTTCTGTATGCGAACTTGTATCTTTTATCAATTGTGTGAAATTCTCAGCAATTGTATCTTGAAATTAAGATCTCTCAGTCATTCCCTCCATCCTGCATTCTCTTCTCCCATTCCTGTTAGACAAATATGGAACCCTCTCAATTTATCTTTCATGTTTCTTGATTTTTCATTTGTATCTTTATCTTTCCCTTTGCTGTGTGTTTTTCTCTGTGCACATAAAAGAGATTTACCAATGATTGTTTCCAGGCTTAATGAAGTAAATTGACCTAGAATGATACATTTTAGAAAACTGATATCAGTGTCAGTAAAATATTACTAGCTGGGCAACAAATTAATAAAAAGAAATTTTAAGTCAGATTTTGGCTTATCAGAAATTAAAGGTGACTTTCATAGGAGAGCAATATTTGCAAGCCAAGTGTATGATGCAAAGTATCATCTGCTTTTTTTTTTTTTTTTTTTTGAGACAGTCTCACTCTGTTGTCCAGTTTGGAGTTCATTGGCGCCATCTTGGCTCACTATAACCTCCATCTCCCAGGTTCTAGCAATTCTCGTGCCTCAGCCTTCCAAGTAGCTGGGATTACAGACGTGCACCACCACGCCTGGCTAATTTTTTATTTTTGGTAGAGATGAGGTTTTGCCATGTTGGCCAGGCTAGTCTCAAACTTCTAACCTCATGTGATCCTCCCTCCTTGGCCTCCTCAAGTGCTGGGATTACAGGCAGAAGCCATCATGCCAGGCCTCGTCTGCTTTTTTGTAACTATAAGAGAAAGGGACTCCTGGTTCTTGGAACTCTCCATCTACTTATTTAATCCTTGGAAAAACCCTATGAGGGAGGTACGATTTATGATTCTTACCATGTCCTCATTGTATACATAACAGAAGTGAGGCACAGAGAGGGTTTTTAATATCCCCAAGGTTACACAGCTGGTAAGTATCATTTCTAGGAATTAAACCCAGATACTTGACTTGAGAGCCCTCATGTTGTTACACTGCCTCTTGTTTCCTACTGTCTCTGCCATCAGATATCCTTGTAGCAGGGATGCTGCGTTTGTGCAGACTGTTCACTGCCCAATGGCCCTGAACTATCATGCCTTTTTGTAGCTGGAATACAGTCCATGTTCTGCTTACCAAGCTGTATGTGGCTATACCTGTCTGAAGTAGGGCTATTTCTGTAATTTCCTTATATGTCCACCTGGGCTAACAGCAGGCTTGTGTCTCATGGTGTCTTTGGTCTTCCCCAGTTATGCCATCTCAGGACTATGACCTTCCCCAGAAGGAGCAGGAGAAAATGACCAAGTTTCAGGTAAGTAAAGGATTCCTTACTGTCTTTTAAGGTGTGATTTATTTCTCAAAGATTAGAGATTTATTTTTTCTCTTTCTTGGAAAGGTTAGTGGAAAACAGATCTTCAGGGCATGTTGTATGCTAACATGTATGTGTTTTGTTTGTTTCAGTTTATCACCTTTACTAATTTACAAAACAGTGTTTGAAAAAATAATAGAAGCTTTAATCAAAAATAATCTACAGTACTATCCTGCTTATGAACTAGCTTTTTTCATTTTCTCATGTTCCTTTTTCATAAACATTTTGCAATACTTGGGTAGATGAAATTTTCAAGTGTGTATTTTCCACTTAATTGCATCACCTGCATTGTATGTGATTACATCATATGCCATTGAATTGCAGTGCCCTTAAAAAACAACAAAAAAAACTATTCCTTATTTAGCCTTTCAGATATTTTAAGAATTTTACTACTTTAAAGTAAATCCAGTGACTTTTTTTTCCTACACATAAAAACAATTCCATCAAAAGAAATTCTGATGGAATTCAATATTATTTGTCCTTAAAGTTTTAGGAACTCTGCATTGAAGAGGTTCATGTCTCAGTTTCATGTTGGTTCCCTCAGGTGTTTTGTAAACAGAACATCTAAAGAATGACATGGTGTAATTTTATTAGATGCTTTCAGAGAAGAGCTATATGTTTTTTCCTGTTTATGTTTTTATCACTCATTTATTTCTTGTATGAATTTATTTCATCAAAGTAACTACATGTACGTAAGTTTTGGGTCTAGTAGTACTTAGATGTCTTGCCAGCCCTTTCTATCTGTCATTGCATTTTTCAGATGTGAGGATGGAGATGATTTATCTGCAGTTTAAATAGGAAGAAACAGGTTATGGGAACATTTTATGGCTGCCCCAAATTTCCCAGGTAGCTGACTCATTGGACACTGAAGCTTCCAACTATTAGGAATATCTGGCATTCTATTTTCATATAAAGGTAGACAGAACAAAAGAGTTTTCCATTCACAGACATGAGCGCATATCATAGAAGTACCTGATGTTACCTTTTTATTCTTTTGAGACAGAGTTTCATTCTTGCTACCCAGGCAGGAGAGCAACGGCATGTTCTCAGCTCACTGCAACCTCTGTTTCCCAGGTTCAAGTGATTCTCCTGCCTCAGCCTCCCAAGTAGCTGGGCTTACAGGCATGTACCACCATGCCTGGCTAATTTTGTATTTTTATTAGAGACGGGGTTTCACCACGTTGGCCAGGCTAGTCTCGAACTCCTGACCTCAGGTGATCCACCCACTTCGGCCTCCCAAAGTGCTGGGATTATAGGCGTGAACCAGTGCAGCTGACCCTGATGTTACCTTTTGGAGGACAGACCCCAGCAATGCCCCTCATCCAGTTTCCATCTCAATGCCTATCTCTTCTCTAGTTTTGTCTCTTAGTCATTCCATGAACATAGATACTCAAACACAGTTTTTATATAAGTGTTTTAAATTTCCCTACAGCAAAAGCTATCAGGCAGCAAACCGGTGGCATATACGTAAACATTAGGTAAAGGTTTAATAGCTAAAATTCCTGTTAAGATTAGTAATATAGAGAAAATTCCAACTGGAATATGAGCAAAAGAAATGAGTAGGAGTGTCATAAAGAAAAGATACAAATTTATGAAAAAAAAGATGGTCAGTAATAAATCTGTGAAAATGTTAATAAAATAGCTTTCTATTTATATATTGGTTTTACTTACATTGTCAATGACCTTTTTAGAAAAAGGAACTGAGTCCTGTTTAGCTAGGGTCTAGAGATTCAGGAATGCTTATACTGTTGCATGAAAAGTGAACTGGGAAAACCTTTGGAGAGGAAAATCTTCCACTACACTTCTAAAATTTTTAAAGTAAATATTCTGTGACTTTGCAGTTCCTTCTTCTTGACCATGATCTCTGTAAAAGGATCTTTGCAGTATTGGTTAGAGTAAAAATCTGTAATTAATTGTACACTATTTGGATTGGTTAAAGATAAATCATCAGTTCCAAGGAATACTATTGTATGTAGTCACAAAATGGGACAAAAGAGATCATAAAGATATTCGTTGTTTGAATTTATTGAGCATGTATGGTGTGCCAGGCACTTCTAAGTGCTTTACATATATTCATTCATCTCATCCTTTCAAACACTTTATGATCTATTTATTTTAATTTTAAACATTTATTTATTTTAAGACACTGTCTTACCCCTGTCATCCATGCTGGAGTGCGGTGGCGCCATCTTGGCTTACTGCAACCCCCGCCTCCCAGGTTCAAGTGATTCTCCTGCCTCAGCCTCCTGAGTAGCTGGGATTACAGATGCACATCACCATGCCTGGCTAATGTTTTTGTATTTTTAGTAGAGATGGGGTTTCAGCATCTTGGCCCGGCTGGTCTCAAACTCCTGGCCTCAAGGGATTTGCCCGCCTCGGCCTCCCAAAGTGCTGACATTACAGGTGTGAGCCACTGCGCCTAGCCTGAAAATGTATTTATTTTTAAAAAGTGAGACAGGTTGAAGTGCAGTGGCACAATCATGGCTCACTGCAGCCTGAAACTCCTGGGCTGAAGTGATCCTTCTGTGTCAGGCTCATACACCTTATAATTTAGATACAATGATAAAGAAGAGGAAATTGAGTTAGTGAGAGATTAAGGAATTTGCCCAAGGTCCTATAACTAGTAAAAGGCAAAACCTTGAAATTTGAACCTGGCCAGACTCCAGAGCCAGTGCTTTAAGCAGCTGTGCATCCTGTAGTAGGTGGATGTGACATGTGCCTTGAAAGCACAGGAAGAGCTATATACCCGTCCTGGGGGTTGCTGAAGGCCTGTGAGCTTTGCAAACATTAAAAACAATGATAGGGCTAGGTGGGGTGGCTCACACCTGTAATCACAGCACTTTGGGAGGCCGAGGCGGGCAGATCATTGGAGGTCAGGAGTTTGAAACCAGCCTGGCCAACATGGTGAAACCCCGTCTCTACTAAAGAAATACAAAAATTAGCTGGGCATGGTGGTGGACGCCTGTAGTCCCAGCTACTTGGGAGGCTAAGGCAGGAGAATCTCTTGAACCCAGGAGGCGGAGGTTGCAGTGAGCAGAGATCGCACCACTGCACTCCAGCATTGGTGACAGAGTGAGATTCCATCTCAAAAAAGAAAAAAAACAAAAACCACTGATAAAGTCCAGGCTTTGTGGGGACGGGCGTAGGAGATAGTGAGAGAGGGAAAAGTGTCACAACTGAAAATTGACAGATCTCTTGGAATCTATAACAATTTTTTGTGGTGCTCTTTTCCTTCTTGATGCCACCCTTCTTCCAGTAGAGGTTAGTTGTAAGATTGAGGTTACATCTGTTTGATGTTGTAGGAGGCTGTGACATTCAAGGATGTGGCTGTAGTCTTCTCCAGGGAGGAACTGCGACTGCTGGATCTTACCCAGAGGAAGCTGTACCGAGATGTCATGGTGGAGAACTTCAAGAACCTGGTTGCAGTGGGTGAGGACAGGCACTGTCTGACCCTGAATTTCAGCTCCCTTGAGAATCTCTTTGCTCTCAGGTGTTCAAGGGTTTGAACCTTTTAAAACGGTTCCTTGCTCTTGAAGACGAAAGGTTTTCTAATCTCTGGGAAAACAGCATAGGTTTTTCTGGTCTTTCTGTTCAGGCAAAATTCTGTCCTTTAAAATTGCTGGTTCTCACCCACAGGTGATTTCGCCCCCAGAAGATATTTAGCAATGTCTGGAAATGGTTGTTACAAGTGATGGAGGGGTGCTGTTGGCATCTTGTGGGTAGTAGCCAGGAATTCTGCTAAATCTCCTACAGTGCACAGGACAGTGCTCCCAAGAGAGAATTGACCAGTCCAAAATAGTAGTGCCGCTGTTGCAAAACCCTGTTTTAAATGAACCGTAAATGGACAATTTAGCTTCTATGCTTTATCTTTCAAACACCTTGTCTTTCAAATGAAACCCATCAATACATTAACTTAGTACATTATATTGGCTTTTTTTTTCAGTGAAATAAAACAGATAAGGATAGAAAATATCAGAGTTCCTTCTCAGGAACTGCTCACATGGCATCAAAAACTGTGACAATTTTCAGTGAATGGTGTGAGATATAGTGTTGCAAATGTGATGAAAACAGACATTGGCTAAGTATAACTTGATATATATATATATACACACACACACACACATATATATGTATATGAACTAGGCCACAACCTAAATTTCTTATTATAGTTCATGATCTAAAAACATCTTAAAATAAATCACTCTAGAGGTCGGGCATGGTGGCTTATGCCTTTAATTGCAGCAATATGGGAGGCCAGGATGGGTGGAGCACTTGAGGTCAGGAGTTCGAGACCAGCCTGGCTAACATGGTGAAACCCTATCTCTACTAAAAATGCTAAAATTGGCCAGGCATGGTGGCAGGTGCCTGTAATCCCAACTACTCAGGAGGTTGAGGCAGGAGAATTGCTTGAACCCTGAAGGCAGAGGTTGCCGTGAGCCGAGATTGTGTCACTGCACTTTAGCTTGGGCGATGGAGTGAGGCTCTGTCTCAAAATAAAAAATAAATAAATAAAATAAGTAATAAAATATCACTCTAGAGGTTGTGAGGCTTATACGGTTCAGACAAAAATGTGTTTTAGTTGTGTGTTCATCTTAAATACATATAAATCTACATTTTCATAGGGCATCTTCCCTTCCAACCAGATATGGTATCCCAATTGGAAGCAGAAGAAAAGCTTTGGATGATGGAAACAGAAACCCAAAGAAGTAGGTATTCTGGTGAGAACCCTGTGTCTGTTCTTTCAGGTACTGGTTAGTCTGCATCTTATCATGTCCATTACCTCCCTGGTCCGAATGTGGTCATCTTTCACCTGGATTATAACAACAGCTTCCATGCTGGTCTCCCCACCTCCTCCCTTGTGCTCCTACAGTTTATTTTCTAAATGGTAGCCAGAGTGGTTATTTTTTTAAATATCTTTATTTTTTGAGACAGGGTCTCACCCTGTCACCCAAGCTGGAGTGCAGCAGCGTGACTGTAGCTCACTGCAGCCTCAACCTCCTGATTTCAAGCGGTTCTCCTGCCTCAGCCTCCTAAGTAGTTAGGACTATAGGTGTATATCATGACACCTGACTAATTTTTTATTTTTTGTAGAGATGAGGTCTTGCTGTGTTGCCCAGGCTGGTCTCAAACTCCTGGACTCAAGCATTCTTCCCACCTCAGCCTCCCAAACTGCTGGGATTATAGATATGAGCTGCCACACCTGGCCCAGAATGACTCTTTAAAGAACACATTAGATTATGTCATTCCTCTGCTCAGAAGCCTTCACAACCTTCCCATTTCACTCAAAGGCCTTGTACTGAACTGCAAGACCCTTCCTGGTCAGATTTCACCAAGTTTCTCTTTGATCTCCCATTCCTTTCCCTTTGCTTAGATCATCTCAGCCATGCTGGCCACCCTTGGAGTATTTGTTAAACCCACCAAGTTCCCTTCTGTTCCATGGCTTCTAACTAGCTCTCCTTGTTGCCTTGGTGGAGAGTCTCCCCAGCACCTTACTTATTGCACTCAAGTCATTGCTCAAATGTTGTATCATTAGAGAGGTCTTGTATGTTTAAATTTACCATTTTAATTTAAAATACCATCTTCTTTCCATTTTCTATCCCCTTACCTTTCATTTCTCTCCTCTTTGCTTTCTCTTTAATTCGCATATTCCTCAGGTCTACTTACTTAAAAATTAAAAGTAAGCTGGGTATGGTGGTGCACACCTGTAATCCTGGCTACATGGGAAGCTGAAGTGGGAGGATCACTTGAGCTGAAGAGTTCCAGACCAACCTGGGCAACACAATGAGACTCCATCTCTACAAAAAAATAAAAAAAATTAGCCAGGCATGTTAGCATACACCTGTAGTCCCAGCTACTTAGGAGGCCGAGGCAAGAGGATCAAGTGAGCCCAGGAATTTGAAACCAACCTGGACAACATAGTGAGACCTTGTCTCACACACACACAAAATTAAAAATAAAAATTAGGTATTCCTAGATGATGTGAATTTTTTAATTTAATTTAATTTTATTTTATTTTATTTTTTGAGACCGAGTCTTGCTCTGTCACCCAGGCTAGAGTGCAGTGGCGCCATCTTGGCTCACTGCAACCTCCGCCTCCCGGGTTCAAGTGATTCTCCTGCCTCAGCCTCCCAAGTTGCTGGGATTACAGATGACCACCACTACGCCCAACTAATTTTTGTATTTTTAGTAGAGATGGGGTTTCACCATGTTGGCCAGGCTGGTGTCGAACGTCTGATCTGATCTACCCACTTTGGCCTCCCAAAGTGCTGGGATTACTGGCGTGAGACACCGCGGATGATGTAAATTTATATGCTCTCCTCACCCCAAAAACAAAACAAGTAAGCTTATCTATTAACATGATAGACTAGGCTCTGAATTCTGTGAGTAGTTGATGGATATAATTCATCCTCTTTGGTTCATCTCCCTTTTTAGGTCTACATGCTGCTTCATGTTTGATGTGTTTAGGAATGTTAGATATTTGCTTCACTTTACTGGGTCTCATTTTCATATGCAAACTTAACCTCGGGAATTATCCTAGGTATTGTTACTTTTCATTTTTGCATAATTTAAACAAAGTCCTTCTTTTAACAAATCTTGTAGCATTTTCTGCCACCTTATCTCAAAGGTTTTTCTTTGATACCTTCAACATGTTTCAGGATTTTGCAACCATGCTCCATGTACAAGTAATATTCTGAAACATTCTTCATAAGTCAGAGGAACACATGTTAAAGGGCTTCCCCTGCCTCGTCACCCCCGCTCCCCGAGATGTAGTTTGGCTGTGTCACCCAGGCTGGAGTGCAGTGGTGTGATCTTGGCTCACTGCAACCTTTGCCTCCTGTGTTCAAGCAGTTCTCCTACTTCAGCCTCCTGAGTAGCTGGGATTACAGGCACTTGCCACCACGCCTGGCTTGTTTTTGTATTTTTAGTAGAGATGGGGTTTCACCATGTTGGCCAGGCTGATCTCGAACTCCTGACCTCGTGGTCTGCCTGTCTCAGCCTCCCAAAGTGCTGGGATTACAGGCATGAACCACCATGCCCAGCCAAAGGGTTTATTTTTATAAGAATTATTAACAAAAAACTTAAAGAGAATGGAGACAAGTAGATATCACATCCCTTTTACTCTGAGAGTTAACTCATAGATTGAGAGCACGGCAGTGTGATTAATTATTTGGGAACACTGTCTTCTAGTGGATGTCTAACATAACTCGTAATTTTCTAAGACATTTTTGGATATATAAATATTCAAACCTACTAACCTTAGAAGATAAAAGCTATTCACAGCTGTTGGAATGTGTAACTACACTATCAAAAATTATCAATGGCAATATGGCAGGTATTACAGTTCATCAGTTTCCTTGTATCAGTATCAAGTTGACTTTACTCATTGGTGAAAACTGCCTTATCCATACAGCTGACTTCCCACTTTCCCATTTTCCCTTCCCTCTAATACCCAAACAGTTATATAACTTACATATAGTAGTTCTTCAGCAGTTTTGAATTGGACATTTCTAGAAGTCCAAAGGCACTGACATACCTGTGGAGTTGAGGTGAGTCTTGATTAGGCAAAGAAAATTCCAGAATTTCTAAATTGGTTTTCCAGTGTAATTTGCATCCACATGTATTAATCTTAGCTTCCACCACAAGCAATGTGAGAAGCACTTTACATGTTGTGGTGACTTCTGGTACCAAACACCTGAAGTTAGTCTGGACTTTCAGAGTAAGGGCATAGTCTTCCACAAGACTGCTCTCTATACCAGCTCTAAGTTTAGGGATTCCCAGATAATTTTACTCACCTCTGACCAAGTAGCTACAAATTTGAGAGTTCCATGATAATTTGTTAGAATGACTAACAGAATTCGGGAAGGTGCTGGACTTACAGTTTTTTTTTGTTTTTGTTTTTGTTTTTGTTTTTGAGACGGAATCTCGCTCTGTCACCCAGGCTGGAGTGCAGTGGCACGATCCTGGCTCACTACAGCTCCGCCTCCCAGGTTCTCACCATTCTCCTGCCTCAGCCTCCCGGGTAGCTGGGACTACAGGTGCCCGCCACCACGCGTGGCTAATTTTTTGTATTTTTTAGTAGAGACGGGGTTTCACCATGTTAGCCAGGATGGTGTCAATCTCCTGACCTTGTGATCTGCCCGCCTCGGCCTCCCAAAATTGCTGGGATTACAGGCGTGAGTCACTGCACCCGGCCTGGACTTACAGTTTTATTATAGCAAAAAAGATACACATTGGAATCAGCAAAAGGGCGAGATGTATAGGGTGAAATCTGGGAGGGTTCCCTCTTCCCTTTTGTAAGGACTTGTGATTACTTCGGGCTGATTGGATATTCTAGGATAATCTCCTTAAGAGCTTTCATTTAATCATATCTATAAATTGCTTTTTAAAAAAATTTTTGTAGACAAAGAGTCTTGCTCTGTCATCCAGGCTGAAGTGCAGTGGCGCAATCTTGGCTCACTGCCACCTCCACCTCCTGGGATCAAGCGATTCTCATGTCTTAGCTTCCCTAGTAGCTTACAGGTGCCCGCCACCACGCCAGGCTAATTGTTTTTGTATTTTTTTTTAGCATTGTTTTGAGACGAAGTTTCGCTCGTGTTCCCAAGGCTGGAGTGCAATGGTATGATATCAGCTCAATGCAACCTCTGCCTTCGGGGTTCAAGTGATTCTCCTGCCTCAGCCTCCCTAGTAGTTGGGATTACAGGCAGCCGCCACCACACCTGGCTAATTTGTGTGTGTGTGTGTGTGTGTGTATTTTTAGTAGAGATGGGGTTTCACCATGTTGTCCAGGCTGGTCTCGAACTCCTGACCTCAAGTGATCCACCCGCCTCGGCCTCCCAAAGTGCTGGGATTACAGGTGTGAGCCACCTGGCTTGTAAATTCCTTTTTGCCATGTACATTAACTATTCACAAGTTTGAGGGTTCAGGATGTGGACATCTCTTGGGGGTCGCGTGTCATTACTCAGCCTGCCATATCCAGAAATGTGTAGATACCTGTCAATATCTTTTTTTCAGTTTGTATTAGAATGTAACATTTCATTTAGGCAAATTACTTGATTAGGACTTGGTAAACCACCCCCTAAATATTTTAAGCCAAAGTCTTTCATATGTTTCTAACCATGACCCTCAACATAAGTATAATTTTACATCTTGACTAAGCATAAATATGTTTATATTTATGTGTATGTTTACAAACTACTCTTATTGCTTTTAATACACTAAGCATGTTCTTATTATGGTTTTTCTTTTTTTTTTGGTCACAAGTTATATACTTGGTTTCATGGTGCACTAATGCATCGCAGCAATTTGAAAACCCTTGTTACAGTGGGGATAAAGCAATGAAGAAAACAAAATGCGTGTTTTTTTTCATGACCATTACATTCTAGTGGGTCTAAAGAGACAAAGGAAAAAAAAAGAAAGTATATAGTAAATCAAATAATAAGTACTGTGGGGAAAAGTCAAGCAGGGTAATCGAACTGGGAAGAGTCGAAGGTGTATGGCAGGCCAGGTGTGGTGGCTCAGCCTGTAATCCCAGCACTTTGGGAGGCCGAGGTGGGCAGATCACTTGAGGTCAGGAGTTCGAGACCAGCCTGGCCAGCATGGCAAAACACCATCTCTACTAAAAATACAAAAATTGAGTGTAGTGGCATGCTCTACATGTGGCAGTAATCCCTGCTACCTGGGAGGCCGAGGAAGAGAATCTCTTGAACCTGGGAGGTGGAGGTTGCAGTGAGCTGAGATTGCGCCACTGCACTCCAGCCTGGGCGACAGAGCGAGACTCTGTTTAAAAAAAAAAAAAAAGAAAGGTTTATGGTGGTACTGTTGATTTATTTTTAGATGATGTGTTATGGAAGGCATCATGGATAGAGTAACATGTAATATGTGAGCAGAGACCTGACAGGAGCAAGAGAACAAGCAAGGCTCCCTGCTTTCTGGGAGGAAGTTTCCAAGCTGAACATACCTCTCCCTCTCTTCGTCTTCTGTGTTGGCTTTGAGAGTTTGCATTATGCTCTATTTCTTTCCTCTCCGAAGTTCTCTCCTAGTTACACAAGATTAGCTTTCCCTTTTCCACTTCTTGTCCAGAGACCTGGATTTCTACCAGATTTTAGAACAATGATCTTATTCCAACTGCTTTCCCAAATTTCCTGTTGGATAATAGTTTCTAACAGGATCTAAAATACTATTTTATGCCTACAGTCTGAACTTTTCTAACCTAACTGGTTATTAGAATCCCACTTATCATAAGCCTACTGAGGAAGAGGTGAGTAGGCTATTAATTGATGTTATTGTAGGTCGCAATGTGGATTGTCTTTTTGTTGCCTTGCAGCTACCTGATTTTAGCTTTTAGCTCTCATATTAAATTGTTAGACTTACGGTTTCTAAATGGATCATGTTTATACTTAGTGAATGGGAGCCTGTGGACCCCATTCTTTGTTTACACCTGTATGAAAAACATGACAAAAGAATACACGATGCTGTAAGGACAAGGTCACTTTTTCCCTGGTTTATCAAGGCTTTCTCCCATGACCTAAGTGTGACATTCTGATATTTCTGAAGAAAGCATTTACTGCCCTCATCTCTAAATATTGCCTTTTTTTTTTTTTTTTTTTAATATAGGCAGCAAGCATCAAAATAAGATGGAGACGCTCCAAAAATTTGCATTAAAATACCTTTCAAATCAAGAGCTATCCTGCTGGCAAATCTGGAAACAGGTTGCAAGGGAATTAACCAGGTGTCTTCAGGGGAAGAGTTCCCAGTTACTACAAGGTGACTCTATTCAGGTTTCTGAAAATGAGAACAATATAATGAACCCTAAAGGGATTTATATTGAAAATCAAGAGTTTTCGTTTTGGAGAACCCAGCATTCTTGCAGGAATATATATCTGAGTGAGTCCCAGATTCAGAGTAGAGGTAAGCAAATTGATGTGAAAAATAACCTGCATATACATGAAGACTTCATGAAAAAGTCACCATTTCATGAGCATATTAAAACTGACACAGAACCGAAACCCTGCAAAGGTAATGAATATGGCAAAATCATTAGTGATGGCACCAATCAGAAATTACCCTTAGGAGAGAAACCCCATCCATGTGGTGAGTGTGGAAGGGGCTTCAGTTATAGCCCAGGGTTTCCCCTTCATCAGAATGTTCACACGGGAGAAAAATGCCTCAGTCAAAGCTCACATCTGCAAACTCTTCAGAGAATTCACCCAGGAGAGAAACTCAATAGATGTCATGAATCTGGTGATTGCTTCAATAAGAGCTCTTTTCATTCTTACCAATCTAATCATACAGGAGAAAAGTCCTATAGATGCGACAGTTGCGGCAAAGGATTCAGTAGCAGCACGGGTCTTATCATTCATTACAGAACTCATACTGGAGAGAAACCCTATAAATGCGAGGAGTGTGGTAAATGCTTCAGTCAAAGTTCAAATTTTCAGTGCCATCAGAGAGTCCACACTGAAGAAAAACCATACAAATGCGAAGAGTGTGGTAAGGGCTTCGGTTGGAGTGTTAATCTCCGTGTTCACCAGAGGGTCCACAGGGGTGAGAAACCCTATAAATGTGAGGAGTGTGGTAAGGGCTTCACTCAGGCTGCACATTTTCACATCCATCAGAGAGTGCACACTGGAGAGAAACCCTACAAATGTGATGTGTGTGGTAAGGGCTTCAGCCACAATTCACCATTAATATGCCATCGGAGAGTCCACACAGGAGAGAAACCATACAAGTGTGAGGCGTGTGGGAAAGGCTTTACCCGTAATACAGATCTGCATATTCATTTCAGAGTTCACACGGGAGAGAAACCCTATAAATGTAAGGAGTGTGGTAAGGGCTTCAGTCAGGCTTCAAATCTTCAAGTCCATCAAAATGTCCACACTGGGGAGAAACGATTCAAATGTGAAACGTGTGGGAAGGGCTTCAGTCAGTCCTCAAAGCTTCAAACCCATCAGAGAGTCCACACTGGAGAGAAACCATACAGATGTGATGTGTGTGGTAAGGATTTCAGTTATAGTTCAAATCTTAAACTACACCAAGTAATTCACACCGGAGAAAAACCATATAAATGTGAGGAATGCGGGAAGGGCTTCAGTTGGAGATCAAATCTTCATGCGCATCAAAGAGTTCACTCAGGAGAGAAACCCTATAAATGTGAGCAGTGTGATAAGAGCTTCAGTCAGGCCATCGATTTCCGGGTGCATCAGAGAGTCCATACTGGAGAGAAGCCATACAAATGTGGTGTCTGTGGTAAGGGCTTCAGTCAGTCCTCTGGTCTTCAATCCCATCAGAGAGTCCACACAGGGGAAAAGCCATACAAATGTGATGTGTGTGGAAAGGGCTTTAGATACAGTTCGCAGTTTATATACCATCAGAGAGGCCACACTGGAGAAAAACCTTACAAATGTGAAGAGTGTGGGAAAGGCTTTGGTAGGAGCTTGAATCTTCGCCATCATCAGAGGGTCCACACGGGAGAGAAACCCCACATATGTGAGGAGTGTGGTAAGGCCTTCAGTCTCCCCTCAAATCTTCGAGTCCACTTGGGTGTTCACACCAGGGAAAAACTCTTTAAATGTGAAGAGTGTGGTAAAGGCTTCAGTCAGAGTGCACGTCTTCAAGCCCATCAGAGAGTCCACACTGGAGAAAAACCATACAAATGTGACATATGTGATAAGGACTTCCGTCACCGTTCACGTCTTACATATCATCAGAAAGTCCATACTGGCAAAAAGCTTTAGAAATGAGAAGTGTGTTACCAACTTTTGTCTGAATGCACCTTTTCAAGTTTTTGGAGAGTGCATGCTGGTGGTAAACCCTATAAAAGTGTTGAGAGTGGAAGGGGGTTTATTCACGTTTGGAATCTTTCTAACAAATCCATCAAGATGATGACATAGAACCATGAACAGGAATAGAACTCGTATTTAGGGGAAAAATGGGGCTTGTGGCTCTCTTGGTAAGATCTAGTTAATATAAATGATCACCTTTCAATGGGAATATATGCCTGAAGATAATGTGTGGAAGGATATTTGCCATATGCTAACTGGTTTTTTGGCCAGGGAGAGTTTTGAGTTATTATTCCTTTTCTTTAATTTTCATTTTATACCTACAGTGATCATTATTTTCATGAAAGCTGTAAAGCTATGAATAATGAATAAAATTACTGACTAAAAATTTTCTGTAACTAAGGACTCATAATATGATTATTTTATATGGTACATAGATTTAAAATTAAGGAATATATCCCCAGGGATGAATCTTTGATCTTCAGAAGTAAATATATGTCTGCCATAGAGGTATATTAAAGGATAGTATGGCCGGGCATGGTGGCTCATGCCTGTAATCACAGCACTTTGAGAGGCCAAGGCGGGTGGATCACGAGGTCAGGAGATCAAGACCATCCTGGCTAATATGGTGAAACCCCGTCTCTACTAAAAATACAAAAAGATTAGCCAGGCGTGGTGGCACGTGCCTGTAGTCCCAGCTACTTGGGAGGCTGAGGCAGGAGAATCGCTTGAACCCGGGAGGTGGAGGTTGCAGTGGGCCGAGATCACACGATTGCACTCCAGCCTGGTGACAGAGTGAGACTGCGTCCCAAATAAATAAACAAATAAAGGATAGTCAGTGCATCATTGTTTTAATAGCAAACAGAAATAGTTGGATTGCCAAAGTATTTTGTGCTTTACCAATCCAGCAGCACGCTATGCAGACATCAAATGGGAAAAGGTAAATTTTTAGCTGTGGATGTTAGAAGATGTTCAGAGTATATTAACTTGAAAAAAAAAATGTGAGATTTTTATGTGATCCTATTTTGTAAAAACGCATAGATGAATAAGTATTTACTTATAGTTCTCTCTAAATAATGGGATTTTACTTTATGTATATTTTTATATTTCTTTAAACTTATTTTGAAATAATTTAAAACTTTCAGAAAAATTATAGAAATTATATAAAAGCTCCCATATACTCTTTACCCAGATTCACCAGTTGTTAACATGTTTGAATTATTCTCTCAATAAGTATGAGCATATCTATACCCATACTTATACATGTTATATGCATTCTCTTATACACATCTAGAATTATTCTCTCAATAAGTATGAGCATATCTATACCCATACTTATACATGTTATATGCATTTATACATAAAGTTTTGCCACATGAATATGTTATATCCTTCTTCCTACACTAAATACTTGTGTGCTTTCCTAAGAACAAGGATATCTACTTAGCTTTAATACAACATTCCAGTGATTTATTTACTTAGAGACAGGGTCTCATTCTGTTGTCCAGGCTGAGTGCAGCGGGGTGATTATAGCTCACCACAGCCTTGAACTCCTGGGCTCAAGCGATCCACTCCACTCAGCCTTTCAAGTAACTGGGACTGCAGGCGTTGACCACCATGCCCACCTAATTTTAAAGATTTTTGTAGAGATGGGCTCTCGCTATGTTGTCTAAACTGGTGTAGAATTCTTGGGCTTAAGTGATCCTCCCACCTCAGCCTTGCAAAATGCTAGGATTATGGGCATGAGCCACTGTACCCAGAAAGAAAATTTATTATTGATACATAACACTATGTAACCTATAGACCTTATTTAAATCTTACATATTTACAAATCTTATATATTTATTGGTTTTCTGCTCTAGAGTCCAAAGATTACACATTGCATTTAGACTGCTTTAATCTGAATTGCTACCTCTTTCATTGTTTTTAATGACCTTGATATTCTTGAGATTATTTTGTAGAATGTCTCTTAATTTGGATTTGCCTGAGGTTTCCTTACAATTGGATTTGAATTACATTTTTTTCCCTGAGGACTCTAAGTGGTGTGCAGCACATCAGGAAACACGGTATGTTTGTACCTTTATGGGTTATGTTAACTTGGAACACTTGATTGGGGAGGGCCGTGCTGGGTTTTTCCACTGCGAAATTACTATTTTTTTCTTTGTAATTAATAATTACAAAGGCAACTTGTGGGGAGACACTTCCTGACTCTATAAATAACTTGTTTTTCGTAAATTTTCCTCCACTAGTTTAAGCATTCTCTAAGTCTGGCCTAAATCAGTAATTGCTCTGATGGTGTAAAAGGGTGATATATTCAACCTTCATCATTCCTCCAACACTTGTTAGACTGTTGTTCTACTCTAAGGAAGTTTCCCTTCTGTCCTGTTTGCCCGTCATGTATTTTCAAATAAATTTGAGCACATCTACACAATACAATGTTCCAAGCTCATCTGGTATTCTTCCTGCCCCATCCACGGAATTTGCTGTTTCTTTGAGAACTCAGATTCTTCTGATTGGGGGATGGTAGTTATACATCAAGATCTGGGTAATAGCTGTAATAGATGTGCCTTTTCTTTTTTTTTCCACTAGGGGATGAAGGAGGGGAAAGAGGTATATAGACAGGAAGAGAAGTAGAAAGGTAGAAAGAATTAATGATGAGTTCCTGCTTTTATCTCCAGTTCTTAATATCATAGTGATTTTTTTTTTCTAGCCTTACCCCTATTCTGTGTTGCATCTTCATTCTTCAAGAATCAGAAATTTGTCTCCCAGTATCATTCATATATTTACTGGGGAATGTGGACATGCATCCAACTAGAACTTGGGGGTTCTGTCTTTTGGAGAGAATGGGAGTATTGGATGACTGATGCTAGAGATGATTTTTGAATGGCATAGTCTCCCAAACATTACAATTTTTCGCATTCTCAGGGTATTGACCCTTTAAACCAAATAAAATGTTCCCGTAGGATCATGAAGAAAAGTATCTGATAGAAATATCCAAAGATAGATATATTCAGATGAGAGCCTTCCAGTCAATGTTTCCTTGCAGGTACTAGCACAGTTAATGTTAAGGAATGGTTTCTTGTGAACTGTTGTGGAGCTCTCCTAGCCTGTGAGTGTCACTGATGTGCCACTGATGAATATTGCTTTATTTACCTCTCATTCTCTTCTTAACCTTCTCAGAGGTAGTTTGACAAAGTCTCAAACCGCATCCCTCTACTGCTTCTTGAGAGGACCAAGGCATTTTAGGAGAAACTAGTGTTAAAGAGACCAAGTCAGAAGATTGGTAACAAAGTAGTATAGTATAATAGCAGACTCCCAGCCAGGCACAGTGGGTCACACCTATAGTCTCAACTACTCAAGAGGCTGAGGCGGGAGGATCACTTGAGCCCAGGAGTTTGAAGCTGCAGTGAGCCGTGATTGCACTACTGCATTCCAGCCTGGGTGACGGTGAGACCCCATCTTGAAAAAGCTGGCTGGGTGCAGTGGCTGCCGCCTTTAATCCCAGCACTTTGGCTGGCCAAAGTGGGTGGATCACCTGAGGTTAGGAGTTCCAGACCAGTCTGGCCAACATGGTAAAACCCTGTCTCTACTAAAAATAGAAAAAGTTAGCCAGGCGTGGTGGTGGGCGCCTGTAATCCCAGCTATTCGGCTGAGGCAGGAGAATTGCTTAAACCCAGGAGGTGGATGTTGTAGTGAGC